CTTTTCTTTGCTGGGACTCAAGACCCACCACAGCCTAAGGAAAGAGAGGTTTATTTTGCCTCACGGTTCCAGAGATTTCAGCCCATGGCCAGCTAATTCCAAGGCAGTAACATCATGATGCAAGGGCATGGTAGAGCAAATCTGAGCACGTCATGGCAGCCAGGAAGCAGGAGAGGGAAAGAGCCAGAGAGGAAAGGGCCAGGGACCAGGTACAGTGCCCAAGGTCATGCTTCTGTAACCCATGAGACATACCTGTAAGTGTGCATTACTTATCCCCCAGCTGTCTCCCAAGCCAATCAGGATGACAGTGAAGATCGAGGATCACAATGTGGGACAAGCGGAGAATGGGAATATTGAATCCCATTGGGAACATTGAATCATTTGATGATTGGGCCCAAATGTAATGTTCAGGTCACTTAGACACTCTCCAGCCGAATGTATCAGTGACCATGGACTACCCTGAGTTAGCAGAATATTACAGATTAGCACACAAAAGGAGCAGAGAGGGGAAGGGTTAATAAGATTGACATTAACAACTTAATAAGCATTATGAGGTACGTTCTTAAGAGAGATAATTTCACTCAACCCCCATTGCCAAGCCTGTGGGATTTCATAATCTCCCTCTAAAAATTAGGAAACAAAGGTGTCTTGGTTACTTTTCTCTCTTTGCTGGGACAAAATTCCTGACGCCCAAAATGAAGGAAGGAAAGGTTTATTTTGCTTACAGTTTGTGGAGGTTTCAGTCCGTACTTGGCAGATTACAAGGCAGAGTGGCACATGGCAGAGAGCTACAGCTCCTGGTGCAGAACACAGCAAAAGCAACAACCACACGCCAGGGCAGAATGGGGGAGGAATGGCCTCAAGCAGCCTCTTCCTCTCCCTTACATATGCAAACTATCCACCCCAGGGCGGGTGCAGCTCTCACACCCATCAATCAATCAAACTCTAAAAGCCTGCTCCATGGCCTCTTGAGGCTTTGGGGGGACACACAGACACAAACCATAACAAAAGGCTCAAAAAATCTCCCCTGCTGTGGTGCTGCAGGAGTATGGGGACAGCACCTCAGTGATTCCACACGCTGCTCACTCTTCTCGGCACCTGCCCACCTGTCTGTCTCAGTCGCCTCCTAGGACATCCGTGTCAGATATGCTTTAAACAGGAGCCAAGCCAGGCATAGCGATGCACACCTATTTGTCTAGCACCCTGGGTGACTGAGGCAGGAGGAGCACAAGTTCAAGCCTAGGTGGCACCACTTAGCAAGATTCTGTCTCACAGTAAAAGGGGGGTGCTGGGGATGTAGTTCAATATGAAAGGACTGGGTTCAACGCCCCTGTACCACAAGAAAATGAAACGAGAGAGAAAGAAGGGAAGAGGAGAGCGTGACCAGAGGAAGCATAGCTTCTTGCGTGTTGATGGTTAATGACTGAAATATTTGTTTCTAAAACATTAGTTTTGCAAATTGGCTGTCTAAGCATTAGCCTGTCAGTGACTGAGGGTAGGGTAAATCCCCATGTGCTGGGGTTGAAAGATGCAGAACTCCGTAGATTTCAACCTTGCAAAGCTGAGTGATTTTCAGTTGTTTTTCTTGCAGATAACAAGTCTTCCCTTATCTACCATGGAACAGACCTTAATAGACAACTGACATTCATAGCCTGGGGTTAGTAACTAGGAAACTAAGCAATATACATTCCTGGGGGGAGGTGGGGGGTAGAATCTGTGAAACAGGAGCTGGGCACACATTTGGGGATGAGGTGTTAGAGTCCCAGGGAACTGTAGAACAGCCTGCTGTGCCTAAGGGGACTGTCACCTTTTCCTCTGGGAAAAGAAAAAGATGACAGTCGCCAGAGCAAGCGAGGGCTGGAAGCACTAACTTTCCTGCTCACCCATTGCTCCTTCAATAGACTCCATTCATTTTATACATGGACAAGCCATTTGTGCATGCTTTTAAAAGAATGTTAAAGTCAAATCAAATATAAAAGGTGTGGGTACCATTTCTGCAGACATAGGGTGGGGAGATTTTGTGTACAAAGGAAAAGGAAATCTACATACTAGGTTGTCAATGATATATGAACCTTCCTCAGAACACTGTGACATTTATTGCTCTAAAGGAACCTTCCAAACATTATTGGATTTAGAAAAGTAATAATACTGATTAACTTGTGTTCAGAGGAGAATTTAGGTTTATACCATTGCTCAAAAGTATTTGTTACTAGGCTTACCAGAACCCAGTAAATTAAAAAGTATGCTTTGTTTGAATCAATAAGGGAAGCTGAGGCAGGAGGATCACCATGAGTTTAAGGCCAGCCTGGGCTACCTAAGCAAGTTCAAGCCCAGCCTGCACCATATAGTGAGACCCTATCTCAAAATAAAAAAGAAAAGAAAAGATGATTTAAGAGGTGGAAGCCAGAATGGGAAAAAGTCTTGCTTTTCTTAATATTTTGGAACACATATGGTTTTATTCAACCATAAGGTAAACAGAGCACAGAATTTCCTATAAAAAAGTAAATAAAACGGTTGTGCCAACTTTCCATACTCCAATTATTACTGAATCAAAATTGAAGAGAAGTAATAGTACTTCAAGAAAACATTTTTTAATGAAAATTGTAAACAAATATATGGCCACTTAAGAACACTAAGTCGTGAGGCTGGGGATTTAGCTCAGCGGCAAAAGCGCTTGCCTGGCAAGCGCAAGGTCGTGAGTTCGGTTCCCGTGTACCGGAGAAAAACCAAAAAAAAAAACAAAAAAACAAAACAAAAACAAAACAAAAAAACCAGTAAGTCATGTGAGAAACAACATAGAGAACACACTACTTTAAAAATCCATTTGTCTAAAAAAATGTAAAGTGGATCACACTGAGTAAGATTTAGACATGCTCACTTCATCTCTCCGGAAATGCAATTTTATTATTATAATTAAATTTATTGAATTTCATCTGACTTTACTTGTTTTTAAAACATTTGCAGATATTACAATTTATCCACATATTTAGCATAACAAGACGCTCTTTGATTTTAACAAACCTTGGGCATGTGTTAACTAAGTTTTTCAAAGTAACTTTTTTCCAAGATTTCTGTGAACATAACATGTGCACAGTAATATCCGGCAGGTGTGTCCAATTTATTTTATTTTTAAAACCGGGCCATTAAAGTTATTTACTACAAATCTCATACACACACACACACACACACACACACACACACACACTTTTAAAAAAAAAAACTAAAACACAACTCACTCTCTGGGCGGGACCGAAGAAATCTGGGTTTGCGCGCTTTGCCTGTGGCCGAGGAGTAATACGGTAACAGCAGGAGATTACGGTACTCGCTGGGCTCCCGCCTGTGTTACGTCAGTGAGAGCTGCAAAGTTCCTCGCCTTTCTTTTCTGGTGTCGAGGAGCTGAATATTAAAAGGGTGATAGTGGAGTTATTGGTTGGTTGTACTTTTTTTTTCTTTTTCGGTTTTCACTCTCCAATTTAGCATGTCCAGGTAAAGCGCTGCGAGTCAGGAGTTTGGAGGCGGCATCCGCGGTGGCGGGGCGGTGAGTCAGCGGGTGCTAAGGGACGGGAACCTGGCTCCGGGGAGAGTCGTCCCCGCTCCCCCACCCGGGAAGACCCGGCCGGGCCGGCGGCTGCGCGAACCCAGGCATCCGCGCTTCAGGTGAGTGAGCGCGGGGCGCGGGGCGCGGACTCCGCAGGGCCCTGCGCGGGCGCCCCTCCCCGGGTGTCCAGCTGGGACCGAGCCCCGCTCGCCCCTCGGTCACGCGCTTTCTCCCCCGTTCTTCGCAGCACCCCGCCCCACGCCCGGTTTCCTTCTCTATCCTGGGAAGTTGCCTTCTAGTTAACAAGTGTCTTTTTAACCCGCTGTGTATCGCTCTCGGGAGTAGCAGGAACGGTTTTGCGAGTAGTATGTGTTTACTATCACCTGTGACGGCTTCAACTTGGCGTTTTTCGCCGAAGCCTGTGCCCGGGATTCCTGCCTCGGGGCCCAAGCCAGAAGGCCAGATGGCCGCGACCCCATGCCCCCACCCCCCTTCCACGTCCGCCTGCAGCTGTGGAAACGCAGGTTTCTGCCGCAGATCATGGCCCCCAGCCCAGAAAACCCGAGGCGTCCCCTGTCCACTGCCGCGCGGGCTTGATTTTCACGCCTACGGAATCCGCAGTGACCACCACCTGCAGAGCCCCTTGGGCAGAGCTGTGCATTCCCCAGCCGGCTCCCCAGGACCCCGGGTGTGTCTTGCGACCCTGTGGTGTGGCAACCAAGCCTGGACCGACCTGGGTCGCGCTCTGCTTTGCCGGGGACCTGGCAATCGGCCCCGGCTGGTGGACAGACCCGCGCGCTCCGCACCCGGGGTGCAAATTGCGCGTCGCGAGCGTGCGCGTGGCGCGGGCCCTGCGGTTCCCGGGTCGCTGAGCTTCCCTCTGCCAGACCGCCCCCGCCCCCGCCCAGGTGACTGCCGTGCAACCTGTTCGGATGGCAGCGGGTTAGATCTCCGGATTCCTCCGGAATCCGACCCTGCTCCGTGTGACACGCGCCAGCCGCAGTCGCGCCTCGCGCGCGGGCTTTGGGATTTTATTGTCGCTGCGCTGGCGTTCTCACCTCGGCCTCCTGGAGTCAGGGCTCGGGTTTTTGTTATCGTTGTCTAGCTTTGAGGGCGGGGGAGGCCTAGTGATTTTTTTTTTCTTGTTTATTTTTGTGCTTAGCATTTTGAACTTGGCCGGAGGAGGTGAGGCGAAGCCCCGGAGGGCAGGTTCCGGTGGTGAAGGACTGGTGTGCGGTCGCCCCCACACCCACCCACACACGGGTCTCTTCCCTCCCGGGGGGCACGTCCGCTCTGAGACCGCAGGGTCGTCGGGTTCCCAGCTGGAGACCATTGCAGGTCAGGCTGGACACAGCCTCGCTCCCGGGGCGCCTGGCTCACGGTCCGCCTTTCTCTTTCCGCTCTTTTAGGAGGACGCGGGTGAACGGAGCTCCAGCGTTGCCGCAGACTCTGTGTGCCTAGAACCTGGAATAGCAAGAAGCCAGGCTGGGGCGGCCGAGCCGTCGGGAACTGCAGGCCCGCAGAAGCGCCGGGTACCTGCAGTCCCTGCCTTTGGGCGTGAACGGCTGATCCGTAGTTGACTGTGACGTGGAGGAGGATTGGCGCTGGAATTTTGAATTCCAAATTATGTCCAAAATGCTCAGTCTTCTCCCAACTAGGACGGACCAGACAGTACAGAAAAGCGGACCCCGCTAATTCTGGGATTGCATTTTGCGAAGGATTCTCCTTGAGCTTTGCACGCAGCCTCGGGTAGGGAGGCATCAGAGCCTCTGGCCCACACAGCGAGTGGACAGGGAGTCGGAGGCCCGCGCGCCCCTAGCCATGTCGCCTCCAGTGCCTCGCGCTTTTGCGTGGCCCGCCAAGGGTTCCCAGGACTGGCCAGGGTTGTTTCCCACCCGCGCGCTCTCCCTCACCCCCAACCAAGCCCAGCCCTTTTGACTTCCAGCTCCGTCGCTCCCGCCTCCGCCCCCGCCCAGGGTGGCCCTGGAGAGCCCGACTTCGCCCGCCCCTGCTGGGACCATGGTGTTTCTCTCCGGAAATGCTTCCGACAGCTCCAACTGCACCCACCCGCCCGCACCAGTGAACATTTCCAAGGCCATTCTGCTCGGGGTCATCTTGGGGGGCCTCATCCTTTTCGGGGTGCTGGGGAACATCTTAGTGATCCTCTCCGTGGCCTGCCACCGGCATCTGCACTCGGTCACGCATTATTACATAGTCAACCTGGCGGTGGCCGACCTCCTGCTCACCTCCACGGTGCTGCCCTTCTCGGCCATCTTCGAGATCCTGGGCTACTGGGCCTTCGGCAGGGTCTTCTGCAATATCTGGGCGGCGGTGGACGTCCTGTGCTGCACCGCGTCCATCATGGGCCTCTGCATCATCTCCATCGACCGCTACATCGGCGTGAGCTACCCGCTGCGCTACCCCACCATTGTCACGCAGAGGAGGGGGCTCCGGGCTCTGCTCTGCGTCTGGGCGTTGTCCCTGGTCATCTCCATCGGGCCGCTGTTCGGCTGGAGGCAGCCGGCCCCCCAGGACGAGACCATCTGCCAGATCAACGAGGATCCCGGCTACGTGCTCTTCTCCGCGCTGGGCTCCTTCTACGTGCCGCTGGCTATCATCCTGGTCATGTACTGCCGGGTCTACGTGGTGGCCAAGAGGGAAAGCCGGGGCCTCACATCCGGCCTCAAGACCGACAAGTCGGACTCAGAGCAAGTCACGCTACGCATCCACCGGAAAAATGTTCCCGCAGGAGGTGGTGGGGTGACCAGCTCCAAGAACAAGACGCACTTCTCAGTGCGGCTCCTCAAGTTTTCCCGGGAGAAGAAGGCAGCCAAAACGCTGGGCATCGTGGTCGGCTGCTTCGTGCTCTGCTGGCTGCCCTTTTTCTTGGTGATGCCCATTGGTAAGTCTTTGCAAACCCTGGCCTTTGTATCTAGGGAGAGATCTGCATTTCAAACAGCACGGGACAGTCGGGGACAGGCTTCCTGGTGGGAACGCGAATCTTCATTCTCTTTCTACTCCAGTCTCATTTCCTTGAGGTCCTAGGGCACTTTTTCATCAACTGTAAAGTGGCTTCCAGTTGATGCAGATGAATTGGTCTCCTTAATAAGAATGTCAACTCTTTTTAAAGCCTTTAAACATGTGTTTAATTTAAATCTATCTGCCCTCTCTGGAGACACACAGTCTCCACTGAGTACTCAGGCAGATTGTGGAATGCCACTTTCCCTCTGCCAGTCCCCTTGCCCTGAAAATAATCACCAGATTTATACTGGGCAAATGTATGAGTTTACTATCACATTAGATTGTTCATAAAGATTAGTTATAATGCTCTGCCTATGTTCTAAAACTTTTAATTTTATATGCTGGATTCAGTATGGAAGGATGTAGGACAAACTACTAACAATAACAAAACTGATCTGCTTAAACCAACATAAGCCTTAAAGATTTCATTATAATCTTTTAATAACTAAATACTTACTTGTTTATTTTAATGCTGAATATTAAAACAGATGCTACTCTTACCCAAAATCATTCAGGAAATTGCAGATGACACTGTTTGAAAATAATACTGTAATGTTACAAATTCAGTTTTTTGCAGGTGCTAAGTAAGCTGATGTCAAAACTAATTAGCTCATTATAAGGATCTGCAGGGTGGTCTCCTTGGAATAGTTATCTATCTCTGAAAAGCCTTCAGTGAGGTCTCAAAATGGTTGTTTGCTATTTTTAGTTCATGAGAACAAATATAGACCCACATGTTGGTTATCTACTAACTCTAACAAAAAGTCATTGTGAAAATTAATAAAAATCCATCCCAGGTACCTTAGAGCCACACTTAAATGACATGTACTTAAAGTGCTTTAATTTGCCATCCTGTCGTAATAATGGCTGCCATAGTTTGAGTGCCAACTACGTTCCAGACAGTGTACCAAACTATGTATTTCACTCGGCCTTTCAGTAATGATTATCCTGAAATTATGGGGGGAGGGGCAAGACTTTAGGTTCTAATACCATAGCCATCGGTGTGTGTAAATGTTTCAATGTGAATTGAAATTTAATAATATCAAAATTCTGTTCCTCGGTTCCACCAGCCACTTTTCAGGTGCTCATCAGCCCGGTGGGGCCAGTGGTACTGTTTTCAAGAGCAAACATGTACATTATTTCTATTATGGCAAAAGTTCTATAAGACAGACTGCTAGGAAGACCTCTTTCAGTCCAGCACTTGGTCTTACCGTGTACCTATCACTGCGACTTGCTCTGCTTCCAGAGTGTGTCCCAGCTTTAAAGTGATAGAGATAACACTCTATCCAAGCAGCTGCCTGCTGGCCCACCTTCCTGCACCCCACCTCTTACTGCCTCTGGAACTGTGTACACTTATCCTGCTCACGTGACAAGTATTTATTAAGCACTTGTTTTACACCTTAGATGAACAAAGCAGAAAAGTCCTTTCTTGTGAAATTTTTCCGTTCTTTTGAAGGAGATAGGCATAAATAAGTACACCCTAAAGAAGTCAAGGATTAACAAGCATTTGCAAAAAGTCAACAAAAATAAGAGGGCAGAAAGCGCCAAGGTGATGGAGCAGGTGCTGGTCAGGAAAGTCCGACCTGCAGAGGCGTCATTTGAGTGGAGCCCAGACTGATGAGAGGCGCGAGCCCTTCAAGATCTGAGAGGAAGTGCTCCTGGGCTGAGTGAGGGGAAGGCAAGTACAGAGAAGCAAAAGGGAGGAGTCCTATGGCTGAGCTACAGACACTGAGGAAGACAAGTTCAAAAACAGGCAGAGGGAGGATAGAGGAGCACAAGTCACACAGGATCTGCTAGGCCAAAGTAGCCTTTGCGCATTGTTCAAATTATGATGAGAAGCTGTTGGAGGATTTTTAGCGGAGATGACTAGTCTCATTTTATATTTTTAAAAAGATCATTCCAGTTGTTGGACAGAGCCTGAGTGTTCTTGGGAGGGCAAGAGTGGAAGGAGGGGGACCTGTTAGGAGGCTGCTAAGAGAGGTCGAAAGGTAAGAGGCTGTGACAGCTTGGACACAGATGGACAGGTGGCGGTGGCAAGAAGTGATCACATTCAGCAGTTATTTCAAATGGAGAGCTGACAAATTTGGACGCAGGGTGGTAAAAAAGAGAGGAATGACGAGTAATTTACAGGATTGAGGCCTAAATAACTAGGTAGACTGGGGTGCATTTTGCTGAGAGTGGAAGACCAGAGAATGACAGGGTTTGAAGGGGCTGTCGGAAGTGGGAATTAGGAGCATTTATTTTGTATTCGCTATGCTGGGAAATATCTATTGAACATCTTAAGTGGAGATGCCAGGGAGGCAGTAGATAGATGATATTTGGAGCTTAGAGGGGAAGGTGGGCCATGGATAGAAACTGGACACATCAACATGTATAAAGCTACAAAAATGAGGAGCTCTGCTAGACAGAAGGTATTGAGACAAAAGAATTGAGCCTTGATAAATTCTGGTACTTGAGGTCAAGAAAAGAACCACCCAGCAAAAAAGGTGGAGAAGTAGCCCAGGAGGCAGGAGGAAAATTAAGAGATTGTTGTGTACCTGAGGCAGAAGAAAAATGCTTCTAGAAGGCAGAAGTGACCAAGCGAGAGGAGGTCAGGCCCATAGTGGAACTGGTGACAAGGAGGTCCTTTGTGATGGAAGATTGCCATTGAGTGTGACAGCTTCAAGGGTGTGATGGAAACAAACACCCAACTGTGTGCTTTCTAAAGAAAAAGAGAAATGGAGTGGAAAATAGACAACTCTCTTGCAAGTTCTGCCACAGTGGAACCACAGGAAAGGGGACGTAGCTGGAGGAATCTAGGGAGTTTTCAGAGGTAAGAGAGAAGAGATCATGATCCTATTCTAATGGGAAGGATGGAATAGCAAGGGATACTTATGGTGTAGGCAAGAAAGGAGCCGGGATTCTTGATGTTGAGTGGAGAAAATGACAGGAAATACAAGGGCCATGAGCACCGAGGCAGACACGTATGGAGGAGAGCAGCAAGGTCTCTTCAGAATAATTTCATATCCTCAGTGAAATAAGAAGCAAGGGCATCAGCCCAGAATTAGAAGGGAATGTGGGATGTGGTGGTTTGAAGAACAAAAAGAGCATGTAAACTGCTCAGCTTTGAGTGCAGGAAAGTAAATATATTGTGGAAATTTTGTGGAGTCACTGGCAAGTCCTGAGTGCCTGTTTGGGATTTACAGTCATGCATTTACACCGAAGGAGTCACAAAGGCTGTGTGACACTCTCCAACAGCCAAGCCATGGGGATGTGGCTGGGAGCAGAGCATGAGTTCTAGGGCTCAACATGAAGAGTGGGTGTTTCTAAGGGGACACAGCCTGGGTCAGATTATGAAACATGCTGAGCCAGATGGTAGAAAGCGCCCAGGGCTGGAAGTGGCCTGGAAGTTTGGGGTTGTGTTGGTGACTGGGCTCTGCTATCAGATGAGGCATGATGACCTGGGCCCTGTGTCCTGCAGAGGAAGGTGGGTGGTCTGGTCTTAAATAGCCTCCCTCTTGGGCCTGCGTTCTCAAAGAGTGGGTATTATTGTGGCAGAGGGAAGTTGTGGTAAGATAGGAATACCCAGAATCAGTGGGTTTCCTTTAAATCCAAATTAAGGGATATGACAGGAGGAAAATAGAAAACGTGCAGGGCTGATGGTGTAGCTTAGTGGTAGAGTGCTTGCCTAGCGTGCACAAAGCTGTGGGTTCCATCCCAGTGAGGGAAGGAAGAGGGCAGAGAACGGAAATGAAGGGAAGGGTAGGGTTACAGCTAACGAAACCGGAACAGCCTGCCTCCTAGGACAGCAACAGACCTGGAAACCCCCAACCTGTGGTTTGTGGTTTCCTCCTAAGACCAGTCAAGTGAGAGAATATTTCTCCTGGGATATATTGATGGTATAATGTGTCCCAGGCACTGAGTTAGAAGAATGAAGAGATGGATAAGCACACCCTCTGCCCCTGAGGGTCTCACAGTCTAATTAAGGAGACAAACTGCAAGCAGTTCACAAAGGGCAGGGAGAGCACACCCCATGGTATTATTACCAGATGCTGAGGAATCCAGCTATGATCTGTGTCAGGAGGTCACTGCAGAAGTTTCTAGAAGCACTGTTGATGACTGAACAGTTTCTTAAAGATGTCATTCATTACTTCTGCTGGGCCATCAGGAAGATGTTACTTGTTTTTATTAACAACCTTTAGTTCATTTTCCATGCAAAATGTGAACAGAAAAATAAATACATCATTATGTTATCTTGCCCAAGGGACAGCAGCTCTTAAGTGTGATAAGTGTTGTCTTGGGAAGACAGGTTACCAGTCTGCTGAAGAGGCCAGGGATTAGAGGGCAGGGATGAGCATGGCAGGCAAAGCTCAAAGAGGAAGCACCACGTGTGTAGAACTGGCGCAGGACACGCGGGTAAGTGGACTCAGTTTCCAGGCTGAGGATTCTAGACCAGGAGAAGACAGAGACGACAGAGTATCTCCCGGCGATCACACTCTGTCTCTCCCAAGCTTCTCCTCACCTCGTCCAAGCTGCTTGTTGGATTGGATAGTTGGATTGTGGTTGGAGGTAGACATCTGACTCACCTCCTCCCAAGTTTAAATCTTGCTCATAAAGCAGGATGTTATTCTCATCACCAAAGATAGATTTTGGGCTGGGGATTTAGCTCAGTGGCACAGTGCCTGCCTGGCAACCGCAATGTTGTGAGTTCGATTCCCGGTACCGGAAAAATAATAAACTAAAATAAAGCAGGATGTTGTACAGGCCAGCTGCCTCACAGGGCACCTAGCACAGAGCAAATGGCAATTAATGTTCATCTTAGAAGGATTCATGTGAGTCACAGACTCTTACTGGCACATGTCAACATCAACGTACATGGTTGTGGTGGGGGGTGTTCTGGGAGGC